ATCCTCAGGATGCAGGCAGCATGTGAAAACACACCCTCTCCGGTCCGCAGAAAACATTCTCTCCATGGAACGCAAAAGGTTCGGGCTACTGCTCTACCCCAATTTGCTACCCAATTTTATTGCTATTGTTCAGTCACTAAGCTGTGTCTAACTTTTCACAACTCCATGGACCACACAACATGCCAGGCCTCCCTGTCTTCCATTGTCTCCAGAAGTCTCCCCAATTCATGCCCACTGCATCCCCTGGTACACTATCTAACCATCTCCTCCGCTGGTTCCAATATTTGAAGGTCTGCCAAAGAGAGGAGGGGATCAAGCTATTTTCCACGGCACCCGAAGGCCAGATAAGGAATAATGGATGGAAACTGATCAAGGAGAGATTCAACCTAGAAATAAGGAGAAATTTTCTGACAGTGAGAACAATCAACCAATGGAACAGCTTGCCCTCGGAAGTTGTGGGAGCGCCATCACTTGAGACTTTCAAGAAGAAATTGGACTGCCATTTGTCAGAAATGGGGTAGGGTCCCCTGTTTGGGTGAGGAGGTTGAACTAGATGACCTATAAGGTCCCTTCTAACTCTGTTAATCTATCTTCTCCTTTTGCCTTCGATTTTTGCCAACATCAGGATCTTTTGCAATGAGTCCTCTATCCTCATTAGGTGGCCAAAGAATGTCAGCTTCAATATCTGTCCTTCCAAAGAACAGTCAAGGCTGATTTCCTTCAGGACTGACTGATTTAATCTCCTTGCAGCCCAAAAGACTCTCAAAAATCTACTCCCAACACCACAATATCCAATTTTAGTGATATTCCTTTTAGTCAGTTCCAAAGGCTACTAAATGGAAGGTGGAACTATGAAAAAGAAGCCACAGTTTGATCACTCTTGGGCACTTGGGGAGTAAAGTAGAAATGAAGACATTTTGTAGAGGAACCACTTTTGTCTCTGCTTCACCTCTAATACCAGGAGAGTAAAAAGTGGAGTGCAGTTTTTTTTTTTTTTAATTTGTCCATTTATAGTGACTTTGCTTTTATTTTTCTTTCCCACTATTCCCAAAGAAAGGGAAATGAAATGCATCAGGACCGGCATTCTGTTTTGACCTTTTTAAATTGTGGGTCAGAAGAATAGGAGTCTTGGGGGGTTTTTTCCCCGCAAGCTGCACTTGCACTTGTGTTTCCTTGCATTCGCTGTGTTTTATTGCATTTTCCTCTTTTCAACTTTTTTCATAATATTGACATGCATGTAGATTTGTGACATCTTTCATTTCAACACTACTTTTCACCATTTTTCTTCAGATGAAAATATGTAGGCATTTGAATATGAATCTGTACTCTGATTTTGTTTTTTATTATAGAAAATAAATTTTGTGAGACAACTACAACTATATCACTAAACAAAAATACTACTGTATAAGTTGGCTAGGCAATTCAGACTGTTAATCTAGGAGACGCCAATGTGTTACTTAGCAGAAATATAACAGACCTTTTTAATATCCATATTAGGGCAAGACTAAAGCTCATAAAATACTGAGCAAGTTTTCCAGCTATCCAAAACTTATTTAGCCAAACCCTAAGCTTTCTTCTTTATTTTTGTCAATTGTCAACGTGATTAAAAAGTGTACTTTAAATTCCTTCTCTTTGCAGGATTTCCAAATATATAAAGTTTGGGTCACTGGCATAGAATGGAGAGACTGGCTAACTTTTATTAGTCTATTCCTTTCGAATAAAATTAGTTATTTATTGAGTGCAAGTAGTTTTTCATTTAAAATTGCTTTTTATTTCCAGTATAACATAATATTGTGCTGACTCTTCTCTGAAGTGGAGATTTTAAAAATTCAGTTTAATTACCGGTAGCCCTTGATCTATAACCATGATAGGAACGGGAAAATTCATTATTAAGCAATATTTCAGGTTCTAATTTCAGGGACCAAAGGTATAGTCTTCTTCCAAGCTTTCTGGCTCATGTTGGAACCCATCCTTAGGGAACTTCTCTCTCTCCAAAATGGGTGCACTGGGCTGATCTACACATTGTATTTGTATGGTGCTTGGTTGTGTGTGGCTTTTAATTGTTAGGATGTTAACAACCCACTATTAAGTCATTAGTTGTTATTTCCTGGTTCTCATCACTTTGGCTCCTAGTAAGCGGGTGGTAAATCAGCACTCCAGTTGACTGACAAGGTGCCCATTTCCCAGACCTCAATTATTTGTCAACGGTCCGACTAGCAAGCCCAAGAAAAGAACACACGCTCAGAAACTTTGAAATCCCAAAAGCAAACTTTTTGGGAGATCCCATTTTGGTACTGAAGAATCAAAACTAACTCTGTTTTTTTTTCTCTGCACAATGCATGTATAGTTAAACAATAGCTTCTCTTTCTCCCTACCCTTGGTTGGTCACATTGTCCAATTATGAATCGTCCTTTTGTTTTGAGAACTGTTCGGTCAGACATCTGCATCAGTGGCCTTGGTGGGTTCTTGGCTCTCATGGTCCATCTCTGCATTCTTTCTCCCTTTCCTTCCAACCCCACCCGCCCAGTTCTTTGACAAGTTGAATAGCGATAAGACCTAAACATTTCAAAAGAGGTTCAACTTTGACATTATTAAGCAGTTGTAGTCATAAACCGAGGCGTCATACATGATTGCATCCAATTTTACAACCTTTTTTGCCATGGTGGTTAAACAAATTGTCATGGTTATTAAGTAAGACATCATGTGAACTGCAGCCTGTAACCTTTTTCCCTCACTTTCCCATTGACTGTGCTTGTCAGAAGCCAGCTGGAAAGGCTCCAAATAGCAATCATAGGACTGCTGGATGTTTCATCCATTGTAAATGTGCAAGAGTTGCCTGATGCCCTAATCGCGGTCATGCAATCCTGGGGACACTGCAACACTTTTAATTGTGAGGACAGGTTGTAAATCACTTTGTTCAAATGGTCACTAAACAACTGGTCATAATCAGTGGTGGGATTCAGATGGTTTGCACTGGTTTGAGCGAACCGGTTTCTAAATTACCTACCAACCCACCCATCCCGGCTATCAAAGTGGATCATGGGAGCTGCAATGGAGAAATGGGCTACAGAGCAGCTAGCATGAGGGAAGGCGAAGGCCCCTTTCCCTCTTTCTTCTCCCTGCTCCTCCTCCTCCTTCCATCATGCCCACCACTCTGTTGCCCATTTCTCCATTGCAGCACAGCGCCCAGGATCCACTTTGATAGCGGGTGTGTGTGTGTTAATTTAACAACCGGTTCACCCAGGGTGAGGTTGGCCATCGCGGGAGGCTCATCCTGCATGTGCGGCAGAGCTGGAGGACATAGATGGGCCATGCCTCCTACGACAGCCAATCTAACCCTTGACGAACCGGTTATTAAATTATTTGAATCTCATTACTGGTTGTAATTCAAAGAATGTCTGTACTGTTGAAATACATTTTTTGAGACTTATTGTTCTTCTGTAATTTGGGATATATTTATAGGCCTAGATTTTTTCATATGGTGATACAATATGCCACTTGGAGGATCTGATCCTAGGAAGGTGCACCCTGTTGAGTTGCCAACCATTAGAAATATATAAACAAAAAGATAATAAAATTGGCAGGAATAAATCTTCTTTGTAGCATATCATTAATAGCAGAAAAGAGTTTGCATCAGTCAGCTTACCAACTGTTGGAGCAAATCACAGTCTAATTTTCCTGCTGCTAATGGGAGGAGAAAGCCAATAAATTGTTGAGAAGGAATGATTCTTGTGTTTCCAATGTCCTTCTTAAAAATGCTGAAATCTGTTTTTGCATCCCCTGAAGCTATTTTTATTATAGTTATTGCTAAAGATTAGGCTTAGTAACCTGACATTTTGAGATGTGATTCACTGTGTGAAAAACTTTGTAGTATTGGCTCATAGAAAAACTCACAAACTTCACCTCCACCCCCAATAGCCTTTCCAGGCAAAACCCACAGAAAATCTTGGTTTTATCCACTTTATATTATCTACCAAATTATTACAGCCTCAGCCACCACCCAAAATGGATATCCTGGCTTGCCACTGAAAGATTCCCACTCCTGGCATAGGAGGGAAGAAAGCTAAGATAATTTTGTCTCTCTGTGTATGTACTCCATGTGTTTGTAAGTGAAGAGAAAATTTGTACTTGGATATTGATAGTTGTATACTCCTTCCTTCCTTCCTTCCTTCCTTCCTTCCTTCCTTCCTTCCTTTTTATTGTGTTTTAATGCTTTATATAACTCTTGTGAGCCTTCCAAGTTGGGTTTCCTAAATAAAGATTGCATGAGTTTCTTCAATAAATAAATGTTTGCAACCCCTAGCCCAGCCATTTGTACATTGCTCCAAATTGAGAAGGTTTCTCACTATTAATAAATCTTAATTTAACAGAACAGGAAAATTATGAAATAATGGTTATAACATAATTGCTTTCAATATATATTTCAGTTAAATCAGATATAGCTTTTCTCCAGAGCTTACCTATTTCTTAGCCTTGTTTTTTACCTATTTTGGGGTAAGCATATAATTATTGATCAGGGATGTCAAACTCATGTTGTCATGGCAGCATCATGTGACTCATCAGGACTTTTTTCCCCTTCACTAAACTGGGCATGGCCAGCATGTGACACATCTGGCCCACAGGCCAGGAGTTTGACAGTCCTGTTCTAGATCAATTGCATGTTTCCATTTCCTCAAAAGTTGCATGCTGCTATTATACGTATACAGCAATCTCTGAACTTTTATTTCAATAAACTGAATATGAGCAAAATTAAGTGTTTTCTTTCTTTTTTTAAAAATAGCTAAGAGTTCGATAGGATTTTTCCCTCCCTCTTCAGGGTAGTGTGAGTAATATTCTAATAAGAAGTGTATGCTATTTTGAAAATACAAATTATATCCAGCCTTTCACCTCCTAAAGCATTAGTGCAGCACCAGCTAGTTTGTCATAGAGTAAAATTAGCCCTGTCTGTGCCGCTAGTGAAAGGGGGTGGAATGTGAAATGTGAAATGTGACCAAACATGTAAACAAGTTCAGCCACGCCTAAAATATTTTCCACTGTGGGTACAAGTGTAGAAATTCATTGTCAGGCTGAAGGCATTTGATCTGAGTTGGATCTGCAATTTCTGCCGGTGTTTTTTAAATCTTCCAAGGTAAGTCTTTTAAGGAAACTTTATTTGCATAGGTGTTTATAAATTATGAAACAATTAATGTAAAGGATTAATAGGCTTTTTTTTTAAAAAAAAAAAAGATAATTCTTGCAGTTCTGCCTTTTTTCTACCATTAGATTGTTATTATATCAACTTGAAACACAATACACAAGTAATTTTTGTAGTTTAGATTATAGCAACTGTCTAAATGTCTGTCTAAACATCTGACTCTAACTTTGTGTCTTTGGCATTGCATATGTGCAGTGAAATAAATAGCCATGTCAAAATTACAGATGTTATTCCTTTATGGGGAATACTGTGCTTTTAATGCAATGAGCTGCATCTTTTCTTTGCTGGTTTCCAGTTTTTTTCCATGGTCCAACTGCAAGGCTGATCTTTTATGGGAACAAAATGATCGTGTTACTTAATAATGGATACTTCTGCCATATAAGGGCCTGGGTGTGTAATCATATTTCTTTTCACGGAGACTGAATATTATTTATCATGTTAACTAGCTTGCATGATGCATTAGTTATGTTTTAGTCCCACAAATACGTGTTGCACTTTAATATTATAATTTAAGGAAACTTATTCTCAATAGTGGATCACAATTCCTGCAGTTATTAGGAATAATCTAAAGAACTTTCCCTTCATGCGGCACCCTCTAGATTTCCATAAATTCATCTTGAACCAACTGGGATAATAGGGAAGTAACTTATAATTTAGTTTTTTTTCTAATAGTTTACTTTTAAAAATGCTACCCCATAACTTATTTTTGTTTGGACACCGTCAGTAAAAGGTCAATTGAATATCTAGGACTGGGTTTGCAGTACTTAGGGCTGCAATATATCTGTGGGTTCTTCTCTTGATGCCAGACTCTCTGACTCATTATCGTTTGTACCTAATATTGCATCTGTCGGGTCCTAGGAAAGCCAACTACTTATTCCAGTCAGCCCCAATAAGTTTCTGATGTATAATTCTTGAATAAGCCTGGCCACCAAATATGGTAGATGCTCAATTCAGATATACTGTATGTATACTGGTGGCCCTAGTGTTTTACCTAGAGCTGTGATGGTGAACCTGTTGCACACGTGCCACAGGTGTCATGCAGAGCCATTTGTGCGGGCACGCGAGCCCCAGGCAAACTTACCTGTGCATGTGCGTGCCTCCCAGGTGATTTTCAGCCTATTTGAGGCTGTTTTTGCCCGGGGCTCAAGGGAAGCCTCTGCAGCCTTTGGATGCTGAAAAACAGGCCCATTTCATCACTTCCGGTATTTCCAGAAGGCCCTCCGAGGCTGCAGAGGTTTCCCTTGACCCTCCGGGAGAGTGAAAATGGCCTCAAATGGGCCAAAAATCAGCTGGGAGACACTCATGCGCAGTGTAGGTAAGGGGGGTTGTTGTGCGTGCATGCACGGGGGGGCAGGGTGCATTGTATTGTGGGTGCTAGTGCATGCGTGCTTTCAGCACACCACAACAAAAAGGTTCGCCATCACTAACATATATGGATGTGATGGATCATTGATTGGTTATTTGCCATCAAGTTGGTATTGGCATCTTGGTGATTAGATCAATAGATTTTTTTCCAGGATGATCTGTCCCCAAATTGTCCCTTCAGGTCCTCCATTGGTGCTCCCATTACAGCTATAATTGAGCCCATCCAGCTTGCTGTAGATCAGAAATGTTAAACTCATGGCTCATGGGCCAGATGCATCATGCGCTGGCCACGCCCAGGCCCAGTTTAGTGAAGGAGGAAAAAGTCGTGATATGTCACATGACGGCGCCGTGATGGCACAACTTTGACACCCCTGCTGTAGATAATCCTCTTCTCTTTCCTTCCATCTCTCCCAGCATTGTGGATGTTTCAGAAGAGCTAGATTGTCACATTTAGTATTGTAATGAAAAGGTATAACAGAAATAAGAGAATAAATATTGTACTTCACAAACTTTTTTAAAGCTGTGCCTGTGCAGGCAGTCCTTGCTTAACATCCATTTGTTCGGCAACCATTTGAAGTTATGACAACGTTGAACAACTTAATGACTGGTCCTTGAAATTCTAGTTATTATAGTGCCCATGGTTACATGAACAAATTTGGGCTCACTCTGGCCTACCCACACTTATGACGATCTTTTGGCTGCTCACCTACTTGCTGCCACCAACTTCTCTCATCACCTGGCTCTGTCTGCCACTGCACATAGCAAGGTGTGCACTGCTACTGTACTGGATGGGATGTTTTCTCACGCCATCTTCTTTTGCAATGGTACTGCCAAAGGCCTTCTCTTGCATGCCAGTTGGGGGGAATGGGACAACTTGTCTCAGCCAAGTTGCTGCGGCCAACTCATCATGGCCAACTTGTTGCAGGACAACTCACCAATGCCAACTCGCTGTGGGACAATTTAACAATTCTATTTAGTTATTTAAAATAAATAAAAATTATTCTAATGTTTGCCATTCACATTTCATTCTGTCTCTCCTTTAGCATCCTTTCTTTAATGATTCTATTCCACCATTTCTTTGGTATTAGTATAACTATTGTCCTACAGCAAGTTGTCCTGTGGTAAGATGGCCATGGCAAGTTTTCCTGCAACGAGTTGGCCGTGGATGTGGTGAGTTGGCCATGGCAAGTTGGCTGTGGTGAGTTAGCTGTGGTGAGT